CAGAATGGTCCCAGGCCTCCTCCTTCCCATGCATTTCCCTTTGTAACTGTAGTCTGCTTTAACCTTTCTCTGAGGTTTCTGTTTCTTCAAACTGGGAATTTCTGTAAGGTTGGATCACAGTGTCAAAGGCCTTTTCCGACAGAACCCACCCTGGTTTTCACCTGGCAGGGTCCTGGAAGGAATTAACCAGTGTAGCCACAGTGGCATGAGAGCTGTGGACATGCGGCAGGAAAGGGGGGAAAGGGGGAGCCTTGCTGAAGCCCCTGCTCTACCCTGACCCTCCTCAGTACTAGTTATCAGTTATTCGAGACCCTCCTCATCTCCCTTCCATACAGCATAGAAGTCAAAAGGCTTTATTTTTCACGACCATTTTTAGATTGTGCTTTGCAAATTTTTTTGGGGAAAAGAAGGTTATCAAAAAAAATTCTGGTTTTTGATCATTAATGGAAAAAGAAGTGACTAGTCATCCTTAAGACCTTTAGTTACTTTTCCTTATGGACAATCTGAAAGGTTTTAGCCGTACTTGTTTCTGTTTACAGCCGGGTTTGCTCCAGCACCAAGCTGCCTCGCTGCTCTGGGTCCAGGCTTCTTTTCTCCACACTTGGCTGTTTCATTAGCAGCTGTCACTTGGCTCAGACTGCAGTGGTGGTATTGCCCTGTCCCCCCGTAGATACAGGACAGCCTCCTAGCTACTTCAGTTACCTTCTGAGAACAAGGAGAGAGCCCATGTTTTATGGGTGTGTGTGCGTATACATTTAGGTGAGTCTTAAACTGTGGAAGGGAGAGACCCTCTAAATATGCTAGAAACTTACATATGTAGGGAATAACATTTTGCTTTAAGAGATTTTGAAATTACTTGGCAACCTCACTTTAAAAGACACATAGATTCAGTGAATCTGTCAGGTTTTCAAAAGGAAAAAAAAAAAGAAGTCCTAGCAATAACTGAGAAATACAGGCTTCTTTACGAGTTCCTCACACAGCTTTGGAAGAACACAGACAAAAGTCCTGTTGTCTGCAAGGTCCCTGCCGCTTCGAGGAGTCTCATGCATCCTCCTCTGATTGTGAGGACTCCTCCTGGTATACAGCACCCATCTCTGCTGCCCCATCCCCACCACACTTAGCCCCTTGATCACCCTGAGTTGTGGGGAGAAAATTCACTAAGTGGCACAATGGTTCCATCTCTAGTCTCTGCTTTTGCTGCCCTCAGACGAATACTGAGCTTCCGGTTTGCTCCCCTGTTTGTGGGGGCTGCCTGCAGGCTTCCCCTCGAGGTGTCCTTGGAGATCACAGACTCCAGTGGTGGGGAGAGAGCCTGGGCCTTGGGTAACTTTGTTTCCTGGGAACTTCTTTCCTGAGGCAACTGAATGAGACCTTCCCAAGTGAGGGTGGTGGCTTCTGCTTCAGAATGCCTGGCACGTTTCCCAGTGTGAGATATTCCCCAAGTATGTAACTGTGTGAGTATCGCAGCCGCTGCACTGGCAGGCGTCTGCCACGGGAGAGCTGGCACCCACGAGATACCAGGGGTCGGGGAGCATGACCGGCCCCTCAGCCAGGCAGTGGCTCTGCCTCACGCCAGGGAGGCCCAGCCCCTGGTTATATTCTGGGGCAGGGGGGGAGCTGGCCAACTCTCCACCTCGACCAGAGCAGGAAACTTCTCTCCCTTCATATCCTCTCCTTCGCACAAAGAAGTGCGCTAAAGAGGCTTTTGTCAACTGAGCCGCAAAGGAACCTTGGTGCACATCACTGGTGTCCTTACCCTCAGTAGTTCCTAAATGGACACAAAGGGCACACTTCATTGAATTCCTGTGTAAAGTGCTCTGAAGATTGGTCTGGGAGGACTGAAGGTCAACGGCATCTGTCACATGGCATTTGTTTTGTTTGCCAGTGATGAAGCCAAAGAGGAAGGGAACTTCTGGTAGATGGTAAGAAGCCCCTGCCAAGGAATGCCTGGCAGAGGAACCTCGCCATGCCTAGGGAAGGGCGCGGGGGGTAGGGGCGGTAGGAGCTTGGCTGTGCTGGTCTGAATTGTGAAGGGTGTGATTAGCAGGGTTGTGGGTCTGCTGTCCTTTTGGGGGGAGGGAGCCGCTTCTCTGAACCTTGCCTCCAGTGTACTTATGTGAATTCCCACAGTGTATGATCAGTGAGTGGGCATTTACTGCCTGATGCTTTGGTACCCACATTAAAATACAGCACAGTGACAAAATGACTCTTCACTTCTCCCTGGCCTTAGGCTTTAGTTTAACTTTGTCTCAACTCGATGCCTCAAAAAATTTTGAGATCTTTGTTCTGGGGAGGCCACTAATGGGAGGACTTAAAAGGCCACTTGATGAAAGATGGGTTTGTACATTTTTCTGATCTTCATTTTATTATTTATTCTACTCTTGTTTTAAATGTACATGTATATCAAAAATAAAACTAAAAAGTCCCCCCAAACAGGCAACTTCCAACAAATTACAGAATTTGGCATTGAGAATAAGTAAACTTTCTTTTCTGTGGTTTAGTTTGTTTTAAATAAACCTCAGTTCTCTGCTCAAACTGTGTGATATTTTTATGTTTTGGAATTTCTCTGTTTTGAGGCATGTGGAGTAAGACATTCTGTACTTTTGCTTTATTTCATTTTCTTTTCTTTTCTTTTTTGGTACCGGGGATTGAACTTGGGTTCTTGTGCTTGCAAGGCAGGTAGCGGAACCACTGAGCTAAATCCCCGGCCCTATTTCATTTTCTTTTATGTAGAGGTACTGCCCCCTTACCTATTATTTAATTATTTAGTTTTGCCAATATTATTTTTCTGATGCTTTCTGCATTCTTGCTTCTTTAAGCACATCTCATTTGTTTTCCTAGCTCTCCTCTGGCATTTGGTATCTGTGCCTGGTCTGTTTTTCCAAATCCTCCTACTAGCTAATGCTGTAGGGCAGTGGCACAAAAGGGCTCTAGAGCTAGGCAGCCTGTGTCCAAACCCTGGTTTGACCTGTGGCTGTGTGACCTTCGGCTACTTAATACTCTTCTGCTTGCTCTCATTGTTCTTGACAGTAATGAGGGACAATCATAACACCTATGTCAGAGAGCTCTTTGAGTGATTAGTGGGTGATTAAATGAAGCAGTATATTGTGAAGTCTTAGACCAGTCTCCAGCACCATTATCCTTTATTTTTGGCTTCTATGTCTGAGTAGGGCTTATTGGCAAATACCAGCTGTTAGGAAGAGTAAGCTGGTAGAGGAGAATGTTGACATGTCGCTGACTCTAGTACTTCTGGTCCTTGGTGATATAAAGGAAAAAGCTGTAAGTGAGCTGTGTACCCTGACCTGCTTTCTTATCTAACCACTTTATCAAGTTTGCAAACCATTTCATTTATCCAGGTGAAGTACATTATTCCAAGAGTTGATGCATTATTAAATTTTAAAATTAGGGTAAATATATAAAAATAATTTCCATTTTAACTGTTTTAAACTATAGAATTCACTGATGTGAATCATAATTATCCCCTCTGTTTTCAAAACATTTCCACCACCCCAAGAAGAAAATGTTCCCATTAAGCAAAAGCTCCCCATGCCCCCTCCCTTAGCTCAGGTAACCTCTAGTCTACTCTCTGTGGATTTGCTTATTCTAGATATTTCAAATAAGTGAAATCATACTGTATTTGCCCTCTGTGCCTTGCTTACTTCATATAGAATAATGTTTTATAGATTCATCTGTGTTGTAGTATTATCAGAACATCGTTCTTTTTATTGCCTGTAGTTTCTGTACTTATTGTTCACCTTGCTGAACAATATTCCATTGTATGGGTGTACCACATTTTATCCAATATCTGGACATTTGGGCTGTTTCACCTTTTGGCTGTTGTGAATAATGCTGTAGCTAACACAGACATGAGTAGCTGTTCAAATCCTTGCTTCCACCTCATGGAATGGCTGGGTCATATATAATTCCACGTTAGCTTTGCAGAGATCTGCTGAACTATCTTCCTAGAAAACAGTTGCTTTGCGCCATTAGTCCCATTTCCCTGGCATCTCCTGGATTCTGTCTCCTCCTGTCATCCAAGCTTCCTCGTTCTTCTAAGCAGCAGACCTGTTCTTGTCTACCCTCCTAACCATGTGTCTTCTTCCCATTTTTTGGAGAGAACACTCCCTTCTCAGAGCACACACTACTAGCTTTGGCCACACATCTGCCCAATAGCTCTGATTTCATTGTCTTTGTAGAAGACCATCTGTAGACCAGGTCTGCTTTGGCTGGAGGCCTGGCTCAGCCACAGGATGACCGAGGACTTGTCAGGTGTGGGAAGTCAGGGCCGTCACACCAGGGGCCCTGCTGAGTCTGGGTCCTCCTCAGACAGGGCTTCCTTGTCCCTCATGACACCTTGCTCTATTGTTCCCCCTCAACTTTGCTCGTGTTTAGGGAGCAATTTGGCCACCCTGACCAAGGGGAGGGTTGTTCTCCGCTTTTCATTTGCCTGTAGTTTCTGTACTTTTCTATGAGCAAGTGAATTAATTAATGACTACCCCAACAGACTGTGAGCCTGCCTCAGATGGCCATTCCGGCTGCTGGGCTAATTGTTAGCCTGGGTTCCTGGATGTCATTCATTTCACAATAAGGCTCCTAATTAATGTGGGTGCATTTCTCACCAGAAGAAAGGCTGATAGGGAGAAACATCCCCCATTACCATGAGAAAGGAAATGTCAAGAGCCCTGTTGAGTTTTCCTGGCATCCGAAGCCTTGTTTCAGATGAAAACCACCATTAGGGCACGAAGGCTGCCTCTCAGTCAGCCCTGCAAACCAGTGAGTGTGAGAGTCTGTGGAGCTGCAGGCCACACAGACCCAGCTTTGCGATGAGCATGCTGTGTGTGCATCCTCTGGTTCTGTAGCACAGAGACAGGGTGGAGAATCCCCAAGCCCTATGCCACATCGTCATTGTGGTCATTGTCATTGTCAGCAAAATTCCTCTGCTGTCCCCAGAGCAGGCAGGCAGAGCTAAAGGTCTCCTCTTTGTGTTTTTGTGCCTGCAGGACAAAAGATCCTTCATCACCGAAGTGACGTCTTGGAAACAGTGGTCCTGATCAATCCCTCCGATGAGGCAGTCAGCACTGAGGTAAGCAGTGGGCTCCCAGGGATCTTGGGTGGGGCCTCACTTGTGGATTGGAGGAGCCAGACAGGTGGGGACCGGAGGAGGACAGAAGAGAGAAGTGCTTGGTTCAGGGATCTTTCTGAAGCAGTTGGTGCCTGCTTCTCTGCATCTGATCACCTCACACCATTGCTCCTGGTAAGGACACATGCGGAGGTGCTAGCTGGATCTGTAGCACTTGGTGGAGGTGAGGGAGTGGAATTGAGGGCATACATGAGGTGTGCTCTGCAGGGTGGATCTGGCAGGGAGGTGGAGAGGAGCTAGACTGTAAGCCCTTGTGCTGAGAACATGGAGAAGATGCAAGTCCAATTCCAAGCTCCCTGCACCCCACCCCTGCACAGGGCTCAGGAGAGTGGCAGCTGGTGTCTCCTTACCTGGGTTCTTGATCCCAGGTCTGCCACCTCTTGGCTGGTGGCCTAGAACAAGTCATTGGCTGTCTTCATTTGAGTTTGCACTTCTGTGAAATGGAGATCATAACTAACAGCTTCTACATTTAATGTCCACTCTCTGTGTAGTGCTTTGAGGTGTCAAGTGTTCGGGACAGCTTGTGGCTTATGCTGACTGAAATGTTGGTGCTGGCTCTTACTATGACATTATCATATGCAGCTGTTGCTAGAGAGAGTGACAGGGAATTTCAGAGCCCAACATGATATAAGAACTTGGCTGAAGAAAAGGCCATCCAGGCCAAGGAGTTCATATATCTCCATTTCCCACTTCCTTTGTTGCAATTTAGAGGCCGGAGGTGGAGTTGCTTCTTGGACATCCAAGCAGCCAGAATTCCTGGATCCTCTGTAATCTACAGTGTCTTGCTTTGAGCATCTCTGTTATATCTTGTTTCTTTTAAATTGAGATATAATTCAGGTACTATGAAGCCTATCCTTCTAAAGTATGCAATTCAGTGATTTTTTTTTAAGGATATATACAAAGCTGTGCAACCCTCACCACTATCTAAACATGTCCATCACTCCCCAAAACTCTGAAACCTGTGAGCATTTATTCTTCCCTCTGCTCTGCTCCTAGCACCCCCCGATCTACTTTCTCTGTTTAGATTTGCCTGTTTTGGGCATTTCATATAAATAGAATCATACAAAATATGGTCTTTTTGTCTTTATTTAGTGTAATTGTTTCATGGTCCAGCTATGTGATGGCATAGATCAGTGTTGCATTCCCTTTTTATGGCTATATAGTATTTCACTATATGGATATACTACATTGCTTGTCTGTTCCTCAGTTGCTTAATGTTGGAGTTTTTTCTACTTTTTTGGCTCTCATGATGTATGTAGCTTGTTTTGACCCACTTCTGCCTGCTTGAGATCAGCAAAACTTTTGACAGTGTACTCATGAACATGGTTGAGAAAAGTGATGGGATAGTAATCTCTCTATGACTAATTGAATCAGGAGGTAATTACAACTTGAAAAGAGCTGTAGGAATAAACTATGTTCAGGCAGACTGCTTGAGAAACAACTGTGAGAAATGAAAAAGGAAAAATAAGGGTTTTTTTTAAAGGAACCCTGGCTTGCTTGTGGGGCAGATGGGACTGAGACCATTGGTTGGTTACATATGTTGCTGGACACACATGAATTAGGCTCAGAACAAATATCTTGGTGCTTGGTCTGGTGTTACTGGGAAAGGCAACAGGCTTCCTGCCACTTAAAGTTCACAGAGAGTTCTGTAGTGTAAACCATTTGCAGTCCCTTTCAAAGATTGCTACTGAGGGAGTAGCATTTTCTTTATGTTCAGTGTCAAGCACTTTGCTGATCCCACTGGAGACTGCATTTGGAGACTGCATTTGGAGCCGTGTGCTCGCTACATGGATTGGAAGGAAAGAGGTTTTGGACAGGGGTTGGGAAGAGGTCGTGCAACTTGGGACCTTAGTGGGAACCTGTCCTTCCTGAGGGGGCAGTTGGGGGACCTGGACTGCATGTGGTGACTCAGCCTGTGGGACATTTGCAAGTCCTTCCTGGTCTCACAGACCGCGTGCTGCTAGCAGACACTTCCGAGCAGCTGTGGAACAAATGCTTCCAGCTGTGATGACTGCTTTGAGAAGGAAGAGTAAATGAAGAGGGAGAAAGTCCACCACCACTGCTGTCTTGGTTGCAGCAGAACTTTGAAAATGATATTCATGGGGGAGCTGAGAGCCACAGTTAATAAGTTTCTGGATGATTCCTCCAGCCTTCTCAGCCCCCAGGGAAGAAATGAGAGTCTCAGGAAATGAATGCCTTTTATTGGTGATGAGCTTCCTGTGCTCAGGGCTGTCACTTTCCTGGAGGTGGGATGGGGTGCTGCCTCCCACTCACACCCTGCTCCCTGTGTTTGTTTCAGGTGCGCTTGATGATCACTGATGCCGCCCGACACAAACTGCTCGTGCTGACTGGACAGTGCTTTGAAAATACCGGAGAGCTCATTCTTCAGTCTGGCTCTTTTTCCTTCCAGAACTTCATAGAAATTTTCACGGATCAAGAGGTGGGTTCCTGTCAGGAGATATCTCAGCTTACAGTTGCTTGGTTATTGTTTAGACTCAGGCTGCTCTTTGAAAACACTGGGGAGCAAGAAGGGGAGGGAATGACACGGCTCCTTTGAAATAAGCAAAACTGGGTGATCCAGAGTACTTTAGTCCTGTGGCTCATGGCCAAAAGAATCTGAAGCACTTGTCCATTATTAATTGAACCATTTTCGGTGTACCTGTCATATAGATGGGCAGGAGATGGGTTTGGGACCCTCGACATTTACAGATGGCAGAAATGATAGAGAAACTTGAAATGACAGAGCCTGAGAGAAAATCCAGGTTTCCTGTTTTCTGAAAGAATACTCCAGAGCTCTCTTGGGCTTTGGGTAGGATGTCACTACCTTGATCTCTTTTTAGTACTCGTACCTCCTTTTCCTGGTCTAATTATTTCTGATTTCTCTTACTTCTGATGCCTACCCCAGAGTTTGAACTGGGACTGTATGAAGGGCCTGTGGGAGAGGAGATAGGTAGGAAAACAGGGCATGATTTTTGACCCAAGAAAAAGATGGTTGAAGTAGCTAGAGCTTTGTCATTAATATGTATCATAAATATATCTTATTCAAGGGAAGTATTGAAATCTATAGGGCATTAGTGGTATTTGGTAAAACCAGATGAGAGATTTTAATTTGCTTATTTCTGCTTGAGAATTTATCCTAGCTGGGGAAATTTCTATAATATGTTTTTTTTTTAATCTAGCATATTTATTTATAGCAGTTCCAGATACAATTCAGGGTCATCATCATAGCAGGTTGGGGCCCACCCATAGCTGATGGTAGATTTCTTTTTTTGTTTGGTTTTTTTGGTACCAGGGATTGAATTCAGGACCTTGCACTTGCCAGGTAGGTGCAGCACCGCTGAACTACATATGGTCCTTATGGTAGATTCTAAATGGCAAGGCCAAGAGATATCCTATCAGGAGCCCATTGGTAACTTTTCCTGGGACAGCTTCTTCATCTCATGTGCACTGCGAAGGGCCTTGTGGCTTTCTGCCATCTTCCTTAGCCCCACACCCCACAGGGAGATGTTTGTGTTCTTGTCCTCCCTGGCAAGACCCATAAGCAACTGCCCAGCCTCGTTAAACTTGCCTACAGACCTCCATCAAACATGGACAGAGGACATAATGATTTTCACTCTCCACACATGGGAGGGCAAAGGACAATACAGAGCTGTGAAAAAGGATATTTTACTTGGTGTTCAAAGCTCCCACTCTTAGAGGTGTGGCGTCATCTACGTTGGGAAGTACTTATCACCCCCAAAGTGACAAAGGGACTCAAAAGCTTTGGGGCTCACTCACAGCAGCTGGTCTGTCCTTTTCATTTTAAAATAAAAGCTTGGTTTCATCTTTTCCAGAGCTTGTGATCTTCCTCCAAGGCTGCCAGGGTCAGGCCCATGTCTTATCTGTGTTTATATCCATTGCACCTGCATATAGTAAAGGCCCATTAAACTACTGTTCAACCACAGTGAAATTCCAGAGCTGGAGCTACAGTTCTCTCTGCTAATTGCTTACTGTTCTGAATGGGTGCATGGCTGCTACAATATCAGAATCTTTTGCAAGATTGTGTCCTAAGTTCATCTGTACCCAGGGAAGCTGGGCATTTGGCTGGTATCTCAAATCATACACATACTGTCAACATCTTATTCCAGGGAGGAGAGAGATCTGGAAGTAGCCGATGATATGGTGAGCAAAGCTCAGTTCAGTCCTGAACCCCTTGGCTCCTTTACAGGCCCTTAGGTACCTTTCTGCATTCCTGGCTAATTGTACAGTTAGCTTCCAGTAAGTGGTTTCTACCCACATTATTGATTTATCTTTTTGCCATAAAACCAAGCAAGGAGATATGTAAAGAAATGTGTTTATCATTGCAAAGACTTTACATAAGGAATTATCGTGTTTCATACATCTGGACCCTAAATAAAACAAACACACCCTCTTTTAAACAAGGAATAGTGTTATGAGAATTGCTATATTAAATCATTTTTACAGGCCATGGAAGTGGAGCTTTGCCACAGTGGGCTGTATATATGTCATATTTTGCCATTAATTACAGATGAAAAGGAAACAGTGCTACCAAAGAATCTTGATTTCTGTGGAAGGGTGGATTCCCCAAGGTTTGTAATCATAGGAGTGTGTTTGTTACACTCTGGCAGGCATCTTTAAGGCCAGAAGCTATGAATTCTTCTTTGCTGTTCTCATAACTCCCCTACCCTAATACTTTGGAGACCAAAGTAATATTCAACGCATATGGAAAAGAGTCTTTAAATAAGTGGTATTGGGGTGATGAGGGGAAGGCGAGGGAAGGACACTGGATAAAATTCACTCTTCCTCTGGCACTTTCAAAGCAACTCAGCCTTCCTTCTTTTACCTCAGAGGCACTGTAAACAGGATGTCACACAGTTCAAGTGTGTTGAAAATCACTGGACTAGACCAATGGTTGGCAGTCTTTGGAGCAGTGATAGCCTATCTCTGGCTTGGGAATAAGTTTGAATACAGAATGATTCAGTTACAAGAGGACCTTAAAGGTCATTTGATGTTTACATTTTTCCCTTTTATCTAGGCTTTGGCACATACTAGTCGACTGTAGGTAGATAAAACAGAAACACAGTTTTATAGAAACAAAAATGCTATATTTTTGACAAGAGCAGCTAAAAATGAGTGTACTGAGAAACAGAATTATCAGTGCACTTGATGCTTTAGGTTTCTGGAGTCTTAATCATTAGAGAACAAATACAAAATCACAGATAGAACAGTCATCTAGCTAACGCATCTGTCTTTGAAATCCAGGGACGAGATCATCCCATTCCAGAAGGCATCGTCTCCTGGGGCATTTCCCAGATTCTCTGTTGGAAAGTTTTTCCTTATTTATATATCTTCAGGGCAGAGATTTAATCTTTCTTCTACCCACAATGTCTTGGATATTCTTCATCAACACAGTTCCCCATTAATCACTTCAGCTTTACTCACAGTTCTGCCTAAAATATTAAAAGTTCCTTGTATTCCCTGCTCAGTGTCCTTCAAATCTGTTCGCTCATTTGGGGAGGTGGATGGGGTGGGTAGGGAAGAAATTCAGGAGTTCGGTCCTGGCCACGTTTTAGTCCTTTGGAATTATTAAAGAGATGGGTGTAAGAGTTCAGAGCTAAAGAACTCAGACTGGAGCTAGAGATACTAATTTATAACCTATTTGCATATCAGAGGTGTTTAAAGCCCAATGATCTAGAGAGAGAGAAATATGTTATAAGAGGAAAGAGCCAAGTCTAGCATTTAGAGGTTAAAGTCAAGGAAAAGGAGCCATCAAAGTATACCTATTTCAGGTTGTTTTTTTGGTCTAGCTTCTCTAAAATGTCATGCCTTAAACAAGACCACATTCCAGGATTTAATGACTTCTGTACTTTTCAATATAATATTTTATTAAATAAGTTTAAAAGTAACTTACCATCACCATGTATAATTGAACGTCAGAGAGGAAAATCTACAGGCTTTAAGAAGCTCTGCAATTGAAATAATCTGGCGACTCTCATTTAAAAAAGCAAACAGGAAGGTGGGCATGGTAGCACATGCCTGTGATCCCAGCACTCTGGTAGGCTGAATCAGAAGAATGGCAAGTTTGAGTTCAGCCTGGACTACATAGTGACTTGGCAAGATCCTGTCTCAAAATATAAAAGGTTTGGGGATGTAGCTCAGTGGTAATAGTACTTGCCTAACACGTCACATACAAGTCCCTTAGTTCAATCCTCAGTGCTCAAAAATAAAGAGTCAGTCATGGTGTTACACACCTGTCATCCCCACTACTTGGGAAGCTGAGGCAGGAGAATCAAAAGTTCAAGGCCTGGGTAACTAACTTAATAAAATCCTGTCTCAAAATAAAAATTTTAAGCATAGGGGTGAATGGCTCAATGCCAGAGCACCCCTGAGTTGAATCTCAAGTACCATAAAAGAAATCACAATTATTAATATAAAATATATTAATTACAAAGCTTTAGGGAGGAGACCAGGCCAGTGTGGGGCCTTGAAATTTAAGCTCTTTTAGCTTCATGTTAAATCCCTGTGTTTTTGCATGGATATTGTTAAGCCACATCTCCCCATGCTGTACTTTGCCCTGCTGATTTATTGAACCTTACATTTATCTCTTTAGAATGCCTGATGTTAAAGTTTACTTAGCCATCATCATGCCAATGTCAAGAGCTTTCATAAATATCTTAATTCTGCCTTCCCATATTTTGCTATGATTCTCATTTTCATGTCATCCACAGACCTGATCAACTTGTCTTTAGCATTTTTAATCCGAGTGAATACTAACTAGAAGTGAACCCATGAACTTCTTTCCATGTTGACATTAGGCACTACTTATATGGCTGCTATAGATTCCCCTAATTCTGCTTTCACGGTGTTCAGAGAGCCCATTAAACGTCTTGCTAAAGTTCAGTAGCACACTGTCTATAGTATTTCCTCACCAGCCAGGCAAGTAACCTAATCAAACCAGGAAATATAGTTAGCAGGCTATGGTTTAGAAATTAAAATCTTGTTTCATTTATCTGTAGTAAAGCCATTTATTTCCTTTCTTTTCCTTCCTCTTCCGGTATGTCTGCATTTAATGAGGAAAAGTAATTAACAAAAAAGATTTTCTTTGGCTCACAGCAGTATTCCTCCTGTTCATGTCTGTCATTGTCTTTGTAAGAACCACAGGAGCAGACTGTTTGATAATATCAGCAAGCTCATGTCACATCCCGAGTTCTCCTTCCGGATGACAGCATGTGTTGAATTGACTAAATGCAGTTCAGCAGCAGTGTATCTTCAACAGATGTGTTTCTGCTCTCCAGAAACCTTCATTACAGTGGGCTGTAACGGTATTTTTAAGAGTTTCCCAGTACATTTAGAAGAAGCTTCTGTTTCCAAGTCTACAACCTGGTCCCAGGATTCCTTGCTGTTCTCTCATTCCCTGACGAGCAGTGATTGAGCCATCCCTCATCATCATCCCTTAAGAGGGGCGAGCGAGCCTTCTTACACCCAGCCGCTGCCCTCAGGGGTGTGTGGTGCTTGTGGGCCTGCAGGTCTGGAATCAGTCTGTGAGAGGAAAGGGGACTTCATTATTGTTGCCCTCACCTCATTCCCCTACTTCCCTGACTGGCTCTTGTAGCCCTTGTCTCGGTATTCTTGTCTCTTCATGTACGGGATGTTGTTTTTCCAGAGGGACCACATTTTCCCTCTCTACAAAGGAAGTTGTCTAGCATACCTGGCTTGCTCTTCTCCTTTGCCTTGTGTGTCATGGTTCTTTATTCACTGACCTGTCTTGACTCTCTTTTATATTCCCACATTTCCTCAGAATTCTGTACAGCTTTATTTGATTTTTCAGTCATTTCTTTCATTTCATCATTTCATAGAAACTCTCTGAGTAGAGGTGAAAAAAATGGAAAATAGAGAGATATTCCTCAGGTCTTTTTACCTTCCACTTTAATTTGGTGATTACATACTTAAAAGTTTGTGATTGATATTATTAAATAGCCTCTCCTTAGGCTGTCTAAATTAAGCCTCAACCACCCTGCCTCTCAGCTAGAGTGGAATTTCAAAAGATTAAAATGAACCAGACCTTTAAAATTTTGACTATTAAAGATTCAGCAGTTAGTTAACCTGGATTTGCTCCCTAACTGTACTGTAAAACATGAATAGTTTGTATATGCTCTGTGTGGAAATGAGGATTGAGGGAATCCTCTTCATGATATAGTGATGGTGATGGGGGTTTCTGTTAATTATTGGACAGAAACCCTGTTTTGGTGCCCATGTTTTGCTTTGATCAGCAAATAATTTGAACAAAGATGGTTTCCATTTGCAGGAAATAATTGGGATAAAGATTTCCTCCCAAAGATGGTTACCATTTGCTTTTTCAGTTTTCTTAGCTTCCAAAATAGGGGCTGTGCTAGGTGTGTTGGTGCACACCTGTAATCCCAGCACTTGGGAGGTGGAGGCAGGAGGATCGCTGTGAGTTCGAGACCAGCCTGGGCTACATAGTGAGTTCCAGGTCAGTCTTAACTACATAGTGAGACCCTGTCTCAAAACAAACAAACAAACAAACAGGGGCTGATTCTTATTCCTTTTATAGGAGACTGTGAAGTTAAGTTGGAGGGAAATGGCAAAATTTTTGTTATTTTGCTATTTTGTGACCATGTAAATTGTTACACTTCAATTACCAGGTTAGTAAAACAAAAATGACAATTTTAGGTAATCCAATATAGAAAAATTCAGAAATCGTAGAGAGAGAGAGAGAGAGAGAGAGAGAGAGAGAGAATGAGTAGGTAAATAAACAAGCATGAGCCTTCTAATATAAATATTCAGGAGGTTAATGACAAAAAAATAATGAGACCAGAAGAGTTCAGGCTTGCTGGCTCAGGGATGACTGAACCAAGCAAAACCTTTACTTTGCCCTTCATCAGTTGCCATCCAGGATACAGAGCCTTTGGCTGTTGAAACTCTGAGCTTATTTATGAGGTTTGCTGAAATGGAAAGAAATCTGGAATTTATGGCATGATCCTCCCTTGCCAAGATTGTGAAACATATGGCCTTAATATGGAGTAAGAAAGCAAATGATGTTTTTGTTAAACCCACCATTCCTGTTCAGGTCCTGATCTGCTTTTCCACATTCCTATCCTTGGGAAGTACTAAACAGTGTGTTGAAAAACACATCTGAACCAAATGTAATCTTAGCCACTCATTCCCACTTGCCCTGAAAATAACGAGAGTAGAGAAAAAGCATAGTGCCTCATGTTGGATTTAAATGTGAGCAAGTGGGGAATGAATTTGGCCATGGGTTTGTATAATTAATTACCCAGCCACTTTAATCACCACAGCTTCAGTAAAAGCATTTGTATTTGCAGAGGATCTGCAGGGTGAAGCACTCATGTTTTAAGCAGTGTGTACTGATGCCAGAAACCAGTCTCTTTTTTGGAGTAATGGGTAATGCATAACTTCCTGCAGGGTGGCACCAAACTTTTTGCTTTTGTGCCTACCGAATTCTAAAAGGAGACAAGAAATGCACTATTATTATCCTCCTTTAATTTTCTGATCAGGATGCTTTTTGCCAAGCCCAGTGGATTAAAAGAAAGGGTTTTATATAAGTGGTGGAATGACTCACATAAGCTTTCCCCATGATCATTTAATATATCATAGTTTAAGGACATCTTTAAATGGCAAATCCCCACAGGAGAGTATGCAGAGTATTTGTAACTGCTGTGGCTGAAGCACAGGTCACCTGGATGGTCATTGGTTTTAGATACGGAGTTTCCCTGCTGGCCAGGGAGGTGTGTGTGAAGGATTACAGGGGAGATGTTGAAGACAGAGGCGTGCTAGTGGTAGCAGAGCAGATGATATGGAGGCCCAGGACAGAGGTTGTTCGCCTTCCAGTGTGCAAACATGTCATTAAACAGTCAGCATCACCCCATGAGTGTGTCTCTGAAACTGACCCTATGGGTAAGTCAGTGAGCTATATAATCTTAGCAGTAGTGGAGATGATGAATCTGAAGTGACAACTACTTAACCTCCTCTTCTCTTCTCTTCCCCTCCCCACTCCTCTCCTCCTCTCTCTTCCCCTCCCTTCCCCTCCTCTCTTCCCCTCCTCACCCAGATTGGTGAGTTACTGAGCACTACCCATCCTGCCAACAAAGCCAGTTTAACCCTGTTCTGTCCTGAAGAGGGTGACTGGAAGAACTCCAATCTTGACAGACACAATCTCCAAGACTTCATCAATATTAAACTCAACTCAGCTTCTATATTGCCAGAAATGGAAGGACTTTCTGAGTTTACTGAGTATCTCTCAGAATCGGTGGAAGTCCCATCTCCCTTTGATATCCTGGAACCTCCCACCTCGGGTGGATTTCTAAAGCTCTCCAAGCCCTGCTGTTACATTTTTCCAGGAGGGAGGGGTGATTCTGCGCTGTTCGCAGTGAATGGATTCAATATGCTCATCAATGGAGGGTCAGAAAGAAAATCCTGCTTCTGGAAACTTATCCGACACTTGGACCGAGTGGACTCCATTCTGCTCACCCACATTGGGGATGACAATTTGCCTGGAATCAACAGCATGCTGCAGCGGAAGATTGCAGAGCTGGAGGAGGAGCAGTCCCAGGGCTCCACCACCAATAGTGACTGGATGAAAAACCTCATCTCCCCTGACTTGGGTGTTGTGTTTCTCAATGTACCTGAAAATCTGAAAAACCCAGAGCCCAACATCAAGATGAAAAGGAGCATAGAAGAAGCTTGCTTCACTCTTCAGTACCTAAACAAATTGTCTATGAAACCAGAGCCTCTATTTAGAAGTGTAGGCAACACCATAGAGCCTGTCATTCTTTTCCAAAAAATGGGAGTGGGCAAGCTTGAGATGTATGTGCTTAATCCTGTCAAAAGCAGCAAAGAAATGCAATACTTTCTGCAGCAGTGGACTGGCACCAATAAAGACAAGGCTGAATTAATTTTGCCCAGTGGTCAAGAAGTAGATATTCCAATTTCCTACTTAACTTCAGTCTCATCTTTGATCGTGTGGCATCCAGCAAACGCTGCTGAAAAAATCATTCGAGTTCTGTTTCCTGGAAACAGCACCCAATACAATATTCTGGAAGGGCTAGAAAAGCTCAAACACTTGGACTTTCTAAAGCAGCCTTTGGCTACCCAAAAGGATCTCACTGGCCAGGTGCCCACCCCCACCACCGCAAAACAAGTAAAACTGAAGCAGAGGGCCGATAGCCGAGAAAGTCTAAAGCCAGCTGCAAAATCACTCCCTACCAAATCAGTGCGAAAGGAGTCTAAAGAAGAAACCCCTGATGTCACAAAAGCTAATCAGGTGGAAAAGCCACCCAAAGTTGAAAGCAAAGAAAAAGTAATAGTGAAAAAAGACAAGCCCATAAAAACAGAGACCAAACCAGTGACAGAAAAGGAAGTGGCCAGCAAAGAAGAGCAGCCTTCTGCCAAAGCTGAAGTGGCTGAGAAGCAAGGCACAGATGTCAAACCCAAAATCGCCAAAGAGAAGGTGGTGAAGAAGGAAACAAAGCCAAAATTGGAAGAAAAGAAAGAGGAGAAGGAAAAGCCCAAGAAAGAAGTGGCTAAGAAGGAAGAAAAAACACCTGTCAAGAAGGAAGAAAAACTGAAAAAGGAAGAGTTGAAAAAGGAAGTAAAAAAAGAAATCAAGAAAGAAGAGAAAAAAGAACTCAAAAAAGAAGTTAAGAAAGAAACACCACTGAAGGATGCCAAGAAAGAAGTTAAGAAGGAAATTAAAAAGGACGAAAAGGAACCCAAAAAAGAAATTAAGAAGCTCTCTAAGGACTCAAAGAAACCAACTACTCCTCTATCTGAAGCAAAAAAACCAGCTGCTTTAAAACCAAAAGTACCTAAGAAGGAAGAGACTGTCAAGAAAGAGTCTGTTGCTGCTGGGAAGCCAAAGGAGAAGGGGAAAATTAAAGTCATTAAAAAAGAAAGCAAGACTTCAGAGGCTGTGGCCATTGGCACTGTGGTCACCACAGCAGCTGCAGTAGCAGCAGCTGGAATAGCAGCCACCGGCCCTGCCAAAGAACTTGAAGCCGAGAGGTCCCTTATGTCATCCCCTGAGGATCTAACCAAGGACTTTGAGGAACTAAAGGCTGAAGAGATTGATGTAGCCAAGGACATCAAGCCTCAACTAGAGCTCATTGAAGATGAAGAAAAAGTAAAGGAAACAGAGCCAGTTGAAGCCTATGTCATCCAGAAGGAGACAGAAGTCATCAAAGGCTCTGCTGAGTCCCCTGATGAGGGCATCACTACCACTGAAGGAGAGGGTGAATGTGAGCAAACACCTGAAGAATTGGAGCCAGTTGAGAAGCAGGGGGTAGATGACATTGAAAAATATGAAGATGAAGGAGCTGGTTTTGAAGAATCCTCAGAGACTGGAGACTATGAAGAAAAGGCAGAAACGGAGGAGGCTGAGGAGCCAGAAGAGGACAGTGAAGAAAATGTGTGTGTGAGCACCTCTAAGCACAGCCCCATTGAAGACGATGAAAGTGCAAAGGCTGAGGCTGATGTGCACATCAAGGAGAAGAGGGAGTCTGTGGCCAGTGGGGACGACCGAGCAGAAGAAGACATGGATGAGGCAGTTGGGAAAGGAGAAGCTGAATTATCTGAGGAGGAAGGTGAAGAGGAGGACAAAGCAGAGGATGCCAGAGAGGAAGAATATGAGCCAGAAAAGGCAGAAGCTGAAGATTATGTGATGGCTGTGGTTGACAAGGCCACAGAGGCTAGTGGCACTGAAGATCAGTATGGATTCCTGGCCACATCAGCCAAGCAACCTGGAGCCCAGTCTCCTGGCCGAGGACCTGCATCTTCAATCCATGATGAGACTTTACCTGGAGGCTCCGAGAGTGAGGCCACAGCCTCTGATGAGGAGAATCGGGAAGACCAGCCGGAGGAATTCACCGCCACCTCTGGCTACACTCAGTCCACCATTGAGATATCCAGCGAACCTACTCCAATGGATGAGATGTCTACTCCTCGTGATGTGATGAGTGATGAAACCAACAATGAAGAGACAGAGTCACCATCCCAGGAATTCGTAAACATCACCAAATATGAGTCTTCACTGTATTCTCAGGAATACACCAAACCTGGTGTTATACCATTCAATGGCTTATCTGATGGGTCAAAAACAGATGCCACTGATGGCAAGGATTACAGTGTTTCAGCCTCCACCATATCACCACCTTCATCTATGGAAGAAGATAAATTCACCAGATCTGCTCTACGTGATGCTTATTGTTCTGAAGAGAAAGAAGTGAAAGCCAGTGCTGCTTTGGAGATCCAAGATAAAACCTCAGCAGTTTCAGGTGAAAGACTTAGTCCAGCCAAGAGTCCATCCCTGAGTCCATCTCCACCATCACCTGTAGAGAAGACCCCGCTGGGTGAACGCAGTGTGAATTTCTCTCTGACACCCAATGAAATTCAAGTCTCCACAGAGGCAGAAGCAGTCTCTGTATCTCCTGAGGTGACCCAAGAAGTAGTTGAAGAACACTGTGCCAGCCCTGAGGAGAAGACTCTGGAAGTGGTATCACCATCTCAGTCTGTGACTGGCAGCGCTGGCCACACACCTTACTACCAGTCTCCCACTGATGAGAAATCCAGTCACCTCCCAGCAGAAGTCATTGAAAAACCACAGGCAGTTCCAGTGAGTTTTGAATTCAGTGATGCCAAAGATGAGAATGAAAGGGCTTCAATAAGCCCCATGGATGAACCTGTGCCTGACTCAGAGTCTCCTATTGAAAAAGTCCTGTCTCCTTTGCGCAGCCCTCCCTTGATTGGATCAGAGTCTGCATATGAAAGTTTTCTCAGTGTGGATGACAAGGCTCCCAGTAGAGGTTCTGAAAGCCCCTTCGAAGGAAAGAATGGAAAGCAAAGCTTTCCAGATGAAATAAGTCCAGTTTCTGAAATGACTTCCACTGGCCTTTACCAGGACAGACAGGAAGGGAAGAGCACAAACTTCATACCAATAAAGGAAGACTTTAGCCTAGAAAAGAAAACTGATGATATGGAAACCATGAGTTCACATGCAACACTGGCTTTGGATGAAAGGAAATTGGGAGATGTTTCTCCAACACAAATAGATGCCATTCAGTTTGGATCATTTAAAGAAGACACCAAGATGTCCATTTCTGAAGGTACTGTCTCTGACAAATCAGCCACACCTGTTGATGAGGGCGTAGCAGAAGACACATACTCTCACATGGAGGGTGTGGCCTCAGTCTCCACAGCCTCTGTGGCCACAAGCTCATTTCCAGAGCCAACAACAGATGATGTGTCTCCCTCTTTGCATGCTGAAGTTGGCTCCCCACATTCCACAGAAGTAGACGACTCCCTCTCTGTATCTGTTGTGCAAACGCCTACCACTTTCCAGGAAACAGAAATGTCCCCCTCTAAAGAAGAATGTCCAAGGCCAATGTCAATTTCTCCTCCAGACTTCTCCCCTAAGACTGCCAAATCCAGGACACCAGTTCAAGATCACCGATCTGAGCAATCCTCAATGTCTATTGAATTTGGCCAGGAATCTCCTGAGCATTCCCTTGCTATGGACTTTAGTCGCCAGTCTCCAGATCACCCAACTGTGGGTGCAAGTGTGCTGCATATCACTGAAAATGGGCCAACTGAAGTGGACTACAGTCCTTCTGATCTGCAGGACTCCAGTTTGTCACACAAGATCCCACCAACGGAGGAGCCGTCCTATACCCAAGATAATGATCTCTCTGAGCTCATTTCAGTGTCTCAGGTGGAGGCCTCCCCTTCCACCTCTTCTGCTCATACCCCTTCTCAGATAGCTTCTCCTCTTCAAGAAGACACTCTATCCGATGTTGCTCCTCCCAGAGATATGTCCTTATATGCCTCACTCACCTCTGAGAAAGTGCAAAGTCTGGAAAGAGAGAAGCTCTCTCCCAAATCTGATATCTCTCCACTCACTCCACGAGAGTCCTCTCCTTTATATTCCCCTGGTTTTTCAGATTCTACCTCTGCAGTCAAAGAGAATGCAGCAGCATGCCACACATCTTCTCCACCAGTAGATGCAGCATCCTCAGAGCCCTATGGTTTCCGTGCCTCAATGTTATTCGACACAGTGCAACATCATCTCACCTTGAATAGAGATTTGACCACATCTAGAGTAGAGGATAGTGGAGGGAAGACACCTGGTGACTTTAGCTATGCCTATCAAAAGCCTGAGAAAGCTACCAGGTCCCCAGATGAAGAAGAAGATTATGACTATGAATCTTATGAGAAATCCAGTCGGACCCCAGATGTGGGCAGCTATTACTATGAGAAGACAGAGAGAACCATGAAATCCCCGTGTGACAGTGGCTACTCCTATGAGACCATTGAGAAGACCAAGACCCCTGAAGATGGTGGCTATGCCTGTGAAATTACTGAGAAGACCACACGGACTCCTGAAGAAGGTGGGTACTCCTATGAAATCAGTGAGAAAACAATAAGGACCCCTGACGTGAGCGGTTACAGCTATGAAGTGACTGAAAGGTCTAGGAGGCTCCTGGATGACATCAGCAATGGCTATGATGACTCTGAGGATGGTGGCCACACACTAGGGGACTCTAGTTACTCTTATGAGACCACTGAGAAAATTACCAGTTTCCCTGAATCTGAAAGTTACTCCTATGAGACATCTATGAAAACAACACGAAGCCCTGATTCTTCCACATACTGTTACGAGACAATGGAGAAAATCACTAAGACTCCCCAGACATCTACATATTCCTACGAGACCTCAGACCGATGCTACTCTGCAGAAAAGAAGTCCCCTTCAGAGGCCCGCCAGGAGGTGGATTTATGTCTTGTGTCCTCCTGTGAATACAAGCATCCCAAGACAGAGCTTTCACCCTCCTTCATCAATCCCAATCCTCTGGAGTGGTTTGCCAGTGAAGAACCCACTGAAGAATCTGAGAAGCCCCTCACTCAGTTAGGGGGAGCTCCACCGCCTCCAGGAGGAAAGCAACAGGGCCGACAGTGTGACGAAACCCCTCCCACCTCAGTCAGTGAGTCAGCCCCATCCCAGACCGACTCTGATGTTCCCCCAGAGACTGAAGAGTGCCCTTCCATTACAGCTGATGCAAACATCGACTCTGAAGATGAGTCAGAAACTATCCCCACTGATAAAACGGTCACATACAAACACATGGACCCACCTCCGGCCCCCATGCAAGACCGCAGCCCTTCTCCACGCCATCCTGATGTGACCATGGTGGATCCAGAGGCCTTAGCCATTGAGCAGAACCTGGGAAAAGCACTGAAGAAAGACTTGAAAGAAAAGACAAAGACCAAGAAACCAGGTACCAAGACCAAGTCCTCCTCACCTGTCAAAAAGGGAGATGGGAAGTCCAAGCCCTTAGCAGCTTCACCAAAACCAGGGCCCTTGAAAGAACCTTCAGATAAAGTGTCCAGAGTGGCTTCTCCTAAGAAGAAAGAATCTGTAGAAAAAGCAACAAAATCCACCACCACTCCTGAGGTCAAAGCTGCACGTGGGGAAGAAAAAGATAAGGAGACCAAGAATGCTGCCAACGTCTCTAAGTCAGTAAAGACCACAACTCCAGGTAGGTGTAGGATGCCAGGCATTCTGATGTAGGCCACAACCATGTTTTTACTTAGAGCCATTATATTTCCATTTGTGCTGGGAAGATGAGGGCACACAAATTAATGCCTTCCCTTTCCCCTGCTAGTCTCTTCTATCTAAAGGTATGTGTCTTAGTCCAGTGTGGCCTTCAGGCCTGGGGATAGCTCAGCACATGGCCTAGTGCAGCTTGATGAGTTTGGATGAGATTCCTGGGTTTGCACCCTCCTGGAATGCAGCCCCTGTACCCGTTCTAAACCTTCAGGACCTAGGATGTGCGTTTCAGGCTGCTCTGGAAGACTGGCTTCAGGTGTACTGGCCTGAAAGCAGCTGGGTGACATAGGCCAGGAGCTCTGAAAGGCCTAGTGAAAACAAGAGGTTCCATGCCAAACCTGAAATGATAAGCCTAGACCAAGAGGTCAGGATTTTCTTTTAAATAAAAAAATTTTTAATTAAAAATTCACTCTTTAAGGCCAGAGGTTTAGCTCAGTGGCACTGCGCCTGCCTCCCCAGATCAAGGTGCTGAGTTCAATCTCCAGTACAAAAAAAAAAAAAAGAAAGAAAAGGAAAAATCACTCTTTGCTGATACATTCCCATAATAGGCAATGTTCTCTTTTCTTATCAGCTAACAAATACCATAATTTCAGTTGACCAGTGAGTGCCCAGCACAAGTCAAGAGGAAAAACATTGAAGCTCTTTTCTTATTTGCTTTCTTACCTTGAGGCACACTAAGAGAGACACAGAATGCCATTTCTGATTGAAATTCCACTTGGTGGCAGCAGGTGTCTCTGACTTGGCTCATTCCATGAATTCTCAGATTTATCTGTTTCTCAGCACTGATTTGATTTTTGTTAAAACTGGTCTTTGCTAGCCCAACTTCATATTGTTGCTGTAAGTCATTTATAAGGATTTGCGTTAATACATTTTTTTTTTTTTGCTATATACAGCGATCCAAGGATTTTAGATCATAGCTCACAAAATAATATAAATTGACCCAAACACACACAGAAAAAAAATTAACATTTCATTGATTTATTAGGAAAAAGCTGATAGATGAATCTTTGGGGCTTACATGTTCGGGACATTTTAGGATGTATTACAGCTGTGGTTTTTACTTTGCATGGAGCATCAATTTTAGGACTCATGTTCTCATCAGATTTGGTCTTTTTACATATAGAAAACAAACAAGTTGTGCATGCTTAAGAATGATGATAAAGCCACTAGGTCAGGTTAACTCCTTGGCCTGAAAGAGTTAACAGTTGACCTGCTCTTAGGAGAAAGCATAGGGCTGGGGATGTAGCTAGCTCAGTGGTTCCTCCTCTGCCTGGCAAGTGCAAGGTCCTGAGTTTGATCCCTGGTTTGAGGGGAGTGTGACACCCTTTCAAACAGATTAAAAACCAGCTGAAACCTGCTGCCAACTCTGCTTGGACATACAACATACATCCTGTAACCCACATAATTGATTTCTTTTAAAAACCTTTTTGGACATTTGAAGAAATAATTTAAAAGGCAACGTAACAAAGATGAGTTAATTTAGTTTTGAAGACACTTTTTTAAAAGGCAAAATTTTAAAACAAACCTGACTAGACGGTTGACAATTTCCAGCTTGGGTTTTTATGAACAATACTCATTTGGAATTGATAGTAGTAATTCAGTATTCAAGGGAAAGTTGCAGACTTATTCATTATTAGAATGGAAACATTTTTATTTCTTGTAGTGCTGGGAATTAAACCTGGGGCCTCATGTATGCCAGGCAAGTGCTCCACTACTGAGCTACCTCCCCAGTCCTTTATAAACATTTTGAGATAGAGTTTTGATAAACTGCCCAGGCTTACCTTGAATTTGGAATCCTCCTCCTCCAGCCTCCTGAATAACTGAGACAACAGGCTTGAGCCACTGTGCCTGGTTCACAAATTGTAATTCTTTAGGAGGGTCCCAAATGGATATTTTGAAGGCTTTAAGCTTAGACTCATTGAACTATCCTGCTAATTTATGTATAAAATGAGTCAGTTTATCCAAGTATGTTTGGCTGATTATCACCATTCCCTTACTCTACTAGTAGTAAAACTGGATAGTTGATAGGATTCACTGGTGGTTTTGACTCTGGGATGAGGCTTTTTAAAATATCTCTTGGAGAAAAGAAAGAACAATAAGCATGTAGAGTCTAGGTGGCATTTTAAATGGCTTTGCAGCAGTGGGCTCAACCAGCTGTCTCTCAGAATCACCTGGGGTACTTTTAAAGGGTGGTGGTGATCACTCTTCATTCCCAGCCCAATTAAGTTGAATTTTGGAGGCCTGGGCATAAAAAGCATCCAGGCTGATTCTCATTATGCAGTGAGAACAAAGAGCCACTGCCCTAGAATGGTATTTCTACTATTTCCAAAACCCTAAACCTTCTAACTGGGACAAGTCAGCAAGCAAGTGAGCTCCCCAAACAGGGTGCCAGGAAACTTTGGGGTTCATCTAAATCTCTGCTTTTCCCAGGTTTTTCTTATTTAGGCTGGGAAATTGGGTTACAGAGGATGCCTTCTTCCCCAGTTGGGTATATCTGGATAGGTTAAACAGTCTTTCTGAACCTTTCTTTACCAAAACTTGATGTCCAGCCCTGTCTGGGGATGAGTGTGCCACTTCAGAGCACTGTGCTAAGGAGGGAATACAGTGTTCCTTTAGGTTATGGATGAGGCTAAGGTGCTGAGGGTGTTGGAGATCTCATGGGGTTAGGATCTGAACCATTTAATAGGTCAAATGTTACTCTATATATACTCTATATATAGATAGAGTTAAGTACTATCAACTATGCACAAAACTGCTATCAGATGAGACCCTAATGTTAATTATTAAGATCATTTGACTGTGGTTTACCTGATATAGATGCTTCCTTTTGACTATTTCTTAGATCACTTTTCAAATTAAAGCTCATGTTAGTAGCTCCTTTAGGAGAGATATTATTATCTAATGCCATCTTTTAGAAAGGGCTTGAAACTCTACTTCCTAATGGGCTATTATGGGAAATATCCTGTTCTTTGCTTCTGCTTTTGTGCTGTGGTTGATAAAAAACCAACCATGGTATATTTTCTCAGATTGCTAGTAGCAGATATGGTCTACAAGTTAACAGCACCTCTTTGCATGTGCCAGAGGACCTGCCTGGGGATAAGTGGGGAAGGTGTATTGGGTGCAGTAGGAAAGGCATATTGGATGTACAGGTTTGTTTATGTTACTGTGACCCTTGCTTTATCCTTGTTCACTGAAGGACTAGGAACCACAAAAACGGCCAAGTCCTCCACTGTGCCTCCAGGCCTCCCTGTGTATTTGGACCTGTGCTACATCCCCAACCACAGCAACAGTAAGAATGTTGATGTTGAATTTTTCAAGAGAGTGAGGTCATCCTACTATGTGGTGAGTGGGAACGACCCTGCTGCTGAGGAGCCCAGCCGGGCTGTTCTGGATGCCTTGTTGGAAGGGAAGGCTCAGTGGGGCAGCAACATGCAGGTAAGAGCTCCAGGACTATGTCTATGGCATGGTTGAGTTGGGCCTAGAAACGGGGAAGGACCAGTGTTTAAAGAATAACTTTTTTGAGTATGGGTCCACATGTGCTGCCTTCTGAATCTGTCACAGATGAAATATCCTGAAGACAAAGTCAATTTAACACACAGAAGATAGTCTAAAGTAGTATTCTTTTGGTTTTGTTTTGTTTTTGGTACCGGGGATCGAACTCGGGTCCTTGTGCTTGTGAGGCAGGCGCTGGAACCATTCTTTTTTTTTTTTTTTTTCCGGTACCGTAGATTGAACTTGGGTCCTTGCGCTTGTGAGGCAGGAGCGGAACCACTGAGCTAAATTGCCAGCCCAAAAGTAGTATTCTTGATAGCACTGACACCCATTGCCTTGGAGGAAAACCTCCTTGCCTAAGACAGAATTCATCTTTCTGCATCTGCAAAATAGGCCCAAGATTAATTACCCTTCCCCTCAATGTACTGAGTATTGTGTGTGTGTGAACCAAAGCAGTCATATTTCCACAGGAGAGTTGCTAGAGAATTGTTTTTATTCTAGCTCCCCAAGAAGCTTTCTATTTCCAAACCTCATGTCTATGAGCCAGCCCATCAATCCAGCTGTAATCTTTCCTTACTTAAGTTGTGAACTACCTAATAAACTGTTTGCATAATATTAATACAATTACTTAATCCTATAAAATCTTAACTGAAGGTACCAGTTACATCTTACTGAATATTAGATGGAAATTTGACTATTCAAGCCATTACCCAAACACCCCACTTCTCCAACATCAGCCCTATATATGAATTGCAAATATAAATCTTTGTTCTCAGGGAAAAAAGTTACATCCAATGGGTAGGCTTCTGAAGGTTTTGAGCCTCAATAATAACTAAAACTCCTTGGATTAAATATGCATTATCTTTCACACAAAATTTATCAGCTTGTTAAAGGAAATATAAGAAATTATATCTTAATTGAAAAATCAACTAATTGATAAAAGCAACTAATAAAATCAACTAGTTGCTTTTAGTTCTAATCTTCAGTTTCCTCCCAGATTTACTCTGGTTCCTGGAAAACATAAGTTGAAAACTCCTTTGCATGTCTATTGAAAGTTGGAAATTAAAAGTTGAAAGTTTAGTGGTCTAATACTTTGTTCTATTTTTTTTTTCCTCATCTGTTTTCTGTCTGCCCTTACACAGCTGTGTTCTCTCTTCCTGCAGGTGACTCTGATCCCAACTCATGACTCAGAAGTGATGAGGGAATGGTACCAGGAGACGCATGAGAAACAGCAAGACCTCAACATCATGGTCTTAGCAAGCAGCAGCACGGTGGTTATGCAAGATGAATCCTTCCCTGCATGCAAGATAGAACTGTAAAAACAAGGCCAGCCACACCACAGAATTTGAACTTTGTTTCCAGAAATTCTTCAATTTGAAACTACCTTTTCTAAAACATCAATTCATCTGATTAAGTCGCTGAACAATTACCTGCCAAATGCTATACTGTGTCATGGTGATGCAAGTCACTAATATTTCTCAGTTTTTGCTGATTGCTAAGGGAAGTAACAGTATTCCCAAAAGGGTTCAAGATACTGCAAAATTACCTACCCCAGTTCACCTCTGCTGAACATTTGGAAACCATGCACTAGCAAGCCCAACTGACTTCTGCTAGGTAGAGACATTTGTCTTAGAGAGAGAGAAAGAGAGAGAGAGGGAGCAAGGGAGTGAGCGCACAAAGAATGCAGGAGAGAGAGACAGAGAGAGAGAGAGAGAAAGAGATAAAGAATGAGAAAAGAATGTAAAAGAAGGAGATACAATGGTAGAGAGTTCTGGTGAGATACCCAGAGAAAAGAAAGAGAGCAGGATGGGGAAAAAGAAGAAAACCAACAGTGAGGTCTGCATTTTCTCAGGCAGTAGATATTCTGTAGTCTACATATGCAAAGCTTTCCATTTTTGTCAGTCTGAGTCATCAAAAAAGGTCTTACTTTTCTAAAGCAATTTGGCTAAAAAAACAGCTTGTTATGAGGGCATGTGAGATGTTCATGCCTCTTTAAGCTCCTTCACTTTGAAGACTGCACACTGACATGATGTAGTTGAGTGTAGACTGGACATGCAAGTGGTACGAGCCCCATTCAGAACTCTGACTCTGACCACACACGTAAGTTGATCTAAGGCATGCTCCCAGCATTTGTCCACCCACGTGGTCCACACTGAGTTAATTAACCTGCATGCAGCAACACCCACGTCCACTCCAATTAACTGAAGCAAATACCAAAGCAGTTGGGAGTACAAAGGGTAGACAGTTTGCCTTAGGAAGTGACTTGAATGTACAAAGATACTTGATGCACTTATTTTTTAATGTGAGACAGCAAATTTATAAAACATCAGTGTAGGATTATAGATACTCCAGTTAAAGGAGCCCATGAGTGTGGGGGTACTAGAAGCTGATTTGATTGGTCCAACCGTTTGATACTGAGTCATGCATGTTAAATACCACTTTAGTGCACCTGGCTTCTCAGTCAAACATGTTGTGCCTTTCATAGCTTCTTTACTACTGCAAGTTCAAGATTGAAATGGCTTCTGTGATCAGAACTGGGAAAGCAGTGAATCTTATGGTGGAAGAGGTTTTTGGCAAGTGTACAGTATTTACCTCCCTTTGTCTTACATTGGCTTTTTTAATTTCCATTAACTTCAACAAAATTATGGGAACAAGTGTACAGCAGAATTTTTTTTTTTAGCTATGTGAGAACTTTTCATAGATGAACTTTTTAACAAATGTTTTAATTTACAGGAAAATGCAAAGAAAAATTTCAAGTGATAGTTTTTTTTTTTTAAGTGTTTCATAAGACAAAAAAATGAATAATGTTTTTTGAAGTTCTGGCAAGACTGAAGTCTGATATTGGAGTAATATTTGTTAGAAACCTGTAACTACCAGGAATAATGATACCCCCACCCCTTGGTTCCCATAACATAAAAAATCTGAGTATGTGCTATTTGAGAGTGGGGGCGAATGGCATGGTAGGCTGTTTCAGGGCCTGTAAAGTATATCACCCAGTGATACCCTACATACTTCTTTAAGATCTCCAACCATGAGGGAAAAGAGCCAAGTTCAAAAGAACCCTAGCACGAATTTGCTTTGGGATTTTCTTTTCTGGAAAAAAAATAGCTCAAAAACAAAATGAGTTCCCAACTCCTACATTCATCTTGTAGAATGCCTACATAATGTCAATCATTGTCATCAATGAACCATGAACCTGGGAAGCCAGATCATGATGACATCTGACATCAGGTCTCAGTTGCAGATCAGTTCACCCAGTGTTCAGATGTGGCAAATTTCTCAGTGACAACTGTCCTGTGCTCTGTCATGTTCTGTTTCCTGCAGACTCTTAAGATCTATGGAGTAGTGAACAATGACCTCATTTTATTTTCTATGTTAGTTATTTATTTCAAAATTTAACATTTAAGTTTTATTTTTGTGATGAGTATGTTTTGCACTGCTAACTACTATGAGGGTTTAAACAATGCTTCTTCGGGGTCCCTTCAGTGAGGACCTGTGCAGTCTACTTAATGCTGTGAATTACATTTTCCAAATGTCTAATTTTAAAAATATTAATATTCTATTTTTGTTAGGCTTCTCTGGGAATACTTTTTATTTATTACCCTATTTTTTCACGTCCTTAAAAATAACACATTAAGGGTACAAAAGTTTTACACATGATGGAAAATGATTGTAACAGAAATGGATTTCACTGAGTATAAATACATTTAATTTCTTTTGTAAGAAAAACTAAAATACTCAAGATAATTATTTAATGGTTGCCTATTGAATTGGTCCACATAATATGTGGGGAAGAAAACAATTTCTAGCCTTATTGCCAAATCTAGACCTCTGGTTGATTTTTCTTTGTAAGTTATTTTCCAGTTTCCCAAATTAAGTTTCTTAACCATGTATATTATTTTCCTTTAAAATACAAACATTTTAGAAGAATTATAGCCAGCCTTCAGTTGTAATCCCTGTACCCCTGTACCATACCCCACTCTTTCTTCTTCTTCTTCTCTTTTTTTGGTTTTTTGAGACAGGGTCTCACTATGTAGTTGAGACTGACCTGGAACTCACTATGTAGCCCAGGCTAGTCTCGAACTCACAGTGATCCTCCTGCTTCACAACCTCCCAAGTGCTGGGGTTACAGGCACACCCTTTATTTCTTAATCCACCCCCCCCTTTATGGGATTTAATGGGAAAAATATAAAAAACTGTCACTGGTCAGCTGGCTCTTTTTCCTATGAATCTGTCAGTACCATATTACATCTCTTGTGCTCAAAGATGGCCACAGAGCCTGAGTATACCAGGAAAACCAATATTTGCATTACAGGTTGCTCCTGTCCTTCTAGACACTTTTCCTACCTGAGTGACTAACCTAATTTTTCTAGTTCCATAAGTACACAATTAGTTTAGTAACAATCACAGAGTACCATGTACACTCATGGTGTAAGCTAAAAATTGACACAGACTTCTAGGAGCTTTGTTTATACCGATTACTTAATCTGATTGTATAGATTGACTATTTGAGTGGAAGGAATTTCCACCCTGTTTAAATGATGGGATTCTATCAAGACAGCGCTCATGATCATGACCTTTTGGGTAGTGTTCTTAAACAAAATTCTGCAGAGACTAAATAAATGTTAGAGATGATCCTCCATTTTCAATTTTAACCAATTCTGTCCCCTTTCTTGAGACCCGCAACCCTTGTGCATGCTTCCTCAGTCTTGTGGTGGGACTGGATACAATTATAACCCCTCCGCCCAGCACCATTTTCCATGAAGTTCAAAAAAAAATTTTTTTTCTTAATGTTACATATCATAGTGAATGGTTTCCCCAGTGTATATTAATGTTTTAAGTGTCTCCAATAGCTTATGAAGTTTAGGAGCTTTCCAGTACTCATTTAATAAGATTTAATCAGTTGCTAATGGAAATTTTACCACCTTTCATTTTCCCTCTTTTACCAAATTTCAGCTCTCAGGAGCTGCTCTACAATTCTAGAATTGCTTTTCTTGCCTCTCTTTAGTCTTGCTCAGTAATGATATTGTGAATTAGGATAATAACTTTTTATTTTTTTGGCACCTCAGATTTAAGAGAAAAGATCCTGCTTCCGTTGGAAAGAAACAGAAGCTTTTATCTTTTCCAACAACACACCAAAAGCAGCCTAGGGATGAGCATTCTTTGAAAGCAATTAGGTTATTCACCTGGTATTAAAATATATTTACTCTTTTTAAAAATCTGTGACTTTATGAAGTTAATTTAAACAGCAGCATCAGAAACTGAAAAGGGAAAAAAAAAAAAAAGAAACCGCTTCTCTGCACTTGTTTGGAGCTCCCCAAAACAGGAGCCATGGGGAAGAGGCTCAGAGGGGGCTGCCCTTTCGAGAACATGCTGGGCAGGCAGCTCAGTCACGCTTTCCCACACTGCACACAGCCCTGATCTTTCCATCCTGGAAAGAAGCAGCCCTGAGTCTGGTCGAGAAGCATTTCACACTCCTCTCTTGTTCTGAATGGTGTTTGTGTCAGTCTGCAGCTGTGTATGGTATTATGTCTTATACTCCTGCATCACTTCTATCCTATCCAGTCATATCTAATGTAGAAAATTAGTTTCCAGTGAAAGTAATATGTAGTGCTTTTATGATATTTGTGTGCAATATCCCCTCTTCCATTGAGGATATTTGATGTAAAGGAAAAAAAACCAAAAAAAAAAAAAAAAAAAAAAAAAAAAAAAAAAAAAAA